CTTGACTGCATCCGCATTTACAGCTGCTTCAGGATTATTCCCTTCGATATCGCCCAAATACAATGCCCCTTTTGGCAATATCTTTCTGATGATGTATGGGCCCTTCCAATTAGGAGCAAATTTTCCTTTTGCTTCCTGGTAATGGGAAAGGATGCGCCTTAACACGAGTTGCCCTACTTCGAAATTTCTAGGCCGCACTTTCTTGTTGTAGGCACGGGCCATTCTTTGTTGGTACAACAGCCCGTGGAAGACTGCGGCCATTCACTTTTCATCGATCAAGGTTAACTGTTCCAGCCGGGTTTTGACCCACTCACTGTCTTCAATTTCAGCTTCAACGATGATTCGGAGAGAGGGGATTTCAATCTTCGAGGGTATTACGGCTTCAGTGTCATAAACCAAAAGATACGGGGTGGCTCCAATTGACGTGTGCACGGTAGTGCGATATCCCAACAATGCAAACGGTAACTTTTTATGCCATTGCCTGGAACTTTGAATCATCTTTCTCAAAATCTTTTTGATGTTTTTGTTTGCTGCTTCAGCGGCACCATTGGCTTTGGGCCGATAAGGAGTAGAGTTCTGGTGTGTTATCTTGAATCGTTCTCATATCTCTCCTATCAAATGACTATTCAAGTTTGTAGCATTGTCTGTGATAATAGTTGCAGGAATGCCAAAACGGCAGATAAGATTGGAGTGCACGAAATCCACCACAGCTTTCTTAGTGACAGATTTGAGAGTGATGGCTTCAACCCATTTCGTGAAGTAGTCAATGGCAACTAGTATGAATCTGTGCCCATTTGAGGCTTTAGGCTCGATTGGCCCAATGACGTCCATACCCCAGGCAACAAATGGCCAAGGTGCTGACATGGGATGTAGTTCTGTGGGAGGTGCATGAATCAAATCACCGTGCACCTGACACTGATGACACTTCCAGACAAAGCTGAAACAGTCCTTTTTCATGGTCATCCAGTAATATCTCGCTCGAAGGATTTTCTTTGCTAAGACATGCCCGTTCATGTGGGGTCTGCATACTCCCTCGTGTACCTCATGCATAATTCTTCCAACCTCTTTTGTGTCAACACATCTCAACAAGTTGAGGTCCGGAGTTCTCTTGTACAAGACATCATCACTCAAAAAGAAACCACTCGCGTGCCGCCTAATGGTTCTCTTTTGGTCTCCACTGGCTTGCTCGGGATATTCTTGCATTTTCAAAAACCTTTTGTTGTCATGATACCATGGTTGGGTATTTGGTACTGTTTCAGCCGTATTACAATAACCATGCCTTTCCCGAATTTGGATTTCCAATGGATCAATGTAGGCATTGCCTGGGTATGGCAACATTGAGGCTAAAGTGGCAAGTGTATCAGCTAGTTTATTGTGGCAGCGAGGAATGTACCTGAACTCTATTGACTTGAATCGTTTGCCAAGTTCTTCCACATGTTGCCTATAAGGAATGAGCTTGACGTCTCGGGTTTCCCATTCTCCTTGAGCTTGTCGGATAATCAAATCTGAGTCTCCCATGATTAACAATTCTTCAACATCTTGGTCGATTGCCATGTTCATGCCCATAATGCAAGCTTCGTACTCGGCAATATTGTTAGTGCAGAAAAACCGAAGCCTAGCGGTGGCCGGGTAATGCTGACCGGTGGGCGAGATCAAGATCGCCCCAATTCCGACACTTTTTGCGTTTACCGCTCCATCGAAGAACATTTTCCAAGAATTGATGTCTTCGGATATTGCCACAACTGAGTTTAACTCTTCATCCGGGAAGTAAGTATTCAAAGGTTGGTATTCATCATCGACCGGATTTTTAGCCAAATGATCTGCTAACGCTTGGGCTTTCATTGTCGTGCGAGTGACATATACTATGTCAAATTCCGTAAGCAGGATCTGCCACTTTGCTAGTCTCTCAGTGGGTATTGGCTTCTGGAATATGTATTTTAAAGGATCCAACCTGGTTATGAGGTAAGTGGTGTAGGCTTGCAAATAATGCCTCAACTTCTGAGCGACCCAAGCGTAGCAGGTCCTTTCCAACAAAGTGTATTTGGACTCATAACTGGTGAATTTCTTGCTCAGATAGTAAATAGCCTGCTCTCTCTTTCCGGTCACATCGTGTTGCCCGAGGACGTAGCCGAAAGAATTTTCCAAGACTGTCAGGTACAAGAACAAGGGCCTCCCTAGCTCAGGTAGGACCAAGACTAGCGGATTTGACAGATATTCCTTGATTTTATCAAAAGCTCCTTGACATTCATCTGTCCACTTGACTGCTGCGTCTTTCTTCAGCAATTTGAATATGGGTTCACATGTGGATGTCAACTGGGTAATGAATCAGCTGATGTAGTTCAATCTACCCAACAGACTCATAACATCCTTCTTGGTTTTTGGAGGAGGCAAATCTCGAATAAACTTTATCTTTGTTGGGTCTAACTCGATGCCCCTCCGACTGACGATGAATCCCAAGAGTTTGGCGGATGGTACCCCAAATGCACATTTGGTTGGGTTCAACTTCAAATCATATTTGCGCAGCCGCTCAAAAAACTTTCTCAAGTCCCGAACGTGGTCGTCTTGGGTTTTGGATTTGATGATTACATCGTCCACATACACCTCTATCTCTCGGTGCATCATATCATGAAAAATGGCTGTCATGTCCCTTATATAGGTTGCCCCGGCGTTCTTGAGACCAAATGGAATGACCCTGTAATAGTATGTACCCCAAGGTGTGGTAAAATCTGTCTTCTCTGCATCTTCTTCATCCATCAACACCTGGTGATATCCTGCGTAACAATCCACGAAGGACTGTATCTCATGCTTGGTGCAGTTATTAACAAGGATGTGGATGTTCGGCAAAGGGAAGTTATCTTTGGGACTTGCCTTGTTTAAATCTCTGTAATCCACATATACCCGAGTCTTTCCATCTTTCTTTGGCACTAGGACTACATTAGCTAACCATGTGGTGTACCGGACCACTCGGATCACCCCCGCTTTCAACTGTTTCATGACCTCTTCTTTGATCTTATCACTGATATCAGTTTTGAACTTCCTCTACTTTTGCTGGACTGGGGGACAATCAGGGTATGTTGGCAACTTGTGAACCACCAAATCAACACTCAGCCCTGACATATCGTCATATGACCAAGCAAACACATCTTTGAACTCAAATAAGAGTTGGATTAATGCGTCTCGAGTTTTTTCGTCTGTGAAAATGCTTATCTTGGTTTCCTTGATTTCTTCAGAACTACCCAAATTAACCGGTTCAGTATCATTTAAGTTCAGCTTAGGTTTATTCTCAAATTGTTCCAATTCTCGATTTATTTTCCTAAAAGCCTCCTCTTCATCGTATTTCGGCTCTTGGTTCATTATTTCGCAATTAGACAGCATGTTTGGATCTGGGCATGAAGTCTGCAAGCATGTCATGTTATTTAAAGCCGTATTATTAGAACTGAAAGAAAAGAGAAAATGACAAAATCAGAAAGAATAAAGAAAGATGAACGATGAAATATTGATTTCATATCTTGGAATTTGAAGATAATAGGGTTTACATCAGAAAATTAAAAGACAAGAAGCTAAAGGAAACATCCGCACCCTGAAATAACTCGTGATGCAGAAAAGGTGGCAGGACAGGTCTACCGGGACTCTCGCCTGATCGGGAATGGCGTAGCCTTCCAATTCTGAAGCTTGGCGTTAGGTCCAATATACAGCACCTCAGCGGTGCTTGAGCCTTCCCCTGGCTGAACTATGTGGGCTTCATACAGTATCTTCCTCATCGCCCCACAGATCTCTTCAATCTCTTTGGCCGTGAAGACCTCATGTTCTTCTTCCTCATGGTATTTTGGCTTAACAAATGTTCTATACAGATGCGGCACCGGCTGAGGCAAGACCCAACCATCATCCTTTCAATCATTTGCCCATTTTACATCAGCTAGAGTGGGTCGGAAGCCTATCCCAAAGAACTTTTCACTGGCGGTCAGGGTGACAGGTTCAGTTATTCCTTGCAATGATTTCTCGAGCCCCTTCCCTGGTTTGAAGCCATATCTGATCATTTCTTTGGCCACCATGATTGATGCATTAGAAACAAAGGGTTGAGGGCAAGGGTTTCCCTCTTCGTACTGGTCTGCGACCACAATTTCAAAGGCTTGGTAAACTATGTGCTCACTCCCCTCTCTCACTTCAAGGCATGGGACTGATGGGTCCCGATAAATTGATTGCTCGTCTTCCCCATGGACCATAATCTCTTGATCTTCATTTTCAAATTTTACCATCTGATGGAGGCTAGAGGGTACAGCCCCCGCTGCATGAATCCATGGCCTTCCCAAGAGAAAATTGCAGGATATGTCCATGTCCAGAACCTGGAAGGTTACTTCAAAGTCTACTGGGCCGATGGTCAGAATCAGATCGATCTCTCCAATTGTGTCCCTTTTTATACCATCAAAATCCCGTACACAAACATTGTTGGGTCGAATTATTTTGGTCCCGATTTCCATGCGTTGTAGAGTTGAGAGTGGACAGATGTCTACCCCAGAGCCTCCGTCCAACATAACCCTTTTCACATAGTACCCTTCGCATATGACTGTCAAGTGCAAGGCTTTGTTATGCGCGGCCCCTTCTGGGGGCAAGTCATTTTTGCTGAAGGAAATCTAGTTAATTGCAAAAAAACTTTCTGCAATCCTCTCCAACTGTTCTACAGAAGTCTCAATAGGAACATATGCTTCGTTAAGGGTCTTGATCAATACCTTCTGATGTTCGGTGGAGTTCATCAGCAAAGCCAACAAGGAGACTTGTTCGGGAAATTTTTGAAGCTGATTGATCACCTCATAATCCGCCATTTTCATCTTTTGAAAGAAAGTCTCCACTTCTTCGGTACTCACGGGCCTCTTAGATGGGAAGCGCTTTTGAGTGGCATTGTTCACCTCTTCCAAGTTAGAATACTTTTCAACGGGGTTATTTTCTTGAACTTCTCCTGAGATGACTTTGCCCTTATAGGTCACCACCGTTTTGTTGTAGTTCTAGGGCACAACAGTAGGATTTGTCATGGGCCTCTGCGGCGTGCGTCCATTAACCACGGGCTCACTCAGCCTTGGTGGATTAATTGGCCCCCGCATCACATAGGCTCCTTTGGGCACATACATTTGGGCTGCCTTGTTCAACTCGAATCTCCTAGGAGGACTCAAAGTCATCTGTTTTTCTTTGTGGCCCCGAGGCACATAGAGAACAACATCTTTGGGAGGTGTTGCCCCAATCCCCGCTTTAACTTTCTTCTCTGATTTTGGAGGGGTGGTTTTGTTCTTTTTCTTCCCCTTGTCTTGCTTCGGGGCAGCTTTTGGTTTCTTTTCTACGTCAGCAATGGCAATGATGGCCTTCAATGCCGGGTCAAATTCCTTATCCTCACAAATCATTCCGATTACCGGCCCGTTGTTGTGGGCCGGCAGCGGGTTGTTAGTCACATTGGAATATCTTCATCCCTTAGCACTATCTTCCTTTGTTCTATCAAGTTTTCCACGGCTCTCTTCAGAGTCCAACAGTCATCCGTGTCATGCCCTTCTGCCCCTGAGTGATAGCCGCATCGGGTACCGGCTCTATAAGCGGGTGATGTTGGGTTTTGCCTGGTTTGAGGAACCTGCTGGAGCATACCCATTTGGACAAGCTTTGGAAACAGACTGGAGTAGGATTCGCCTATTGGTGTGAAATTTGGCCTTCTAGGTGGCTCACGAGGGGGAAAAGTGTTTTGTAGAGGACGGGGGTTGTAGTGGTTTTGGTAAGGAGGCTGGTTTCTAGGAAATAGAGCTTGGTTACGGTTGGCTTGTTGCTGTGGGCGGACATAAGATTGAGCATTCATGACTGTGTATGGATGAGGAGCATAGGCCATGTCTTGGTGGGGGTAATAGTGCTGCGGGGTCCTTTCTGGGAGAAGGGATCTGGGAATACGGTGTTTTCTTGTACCCGACGCTGCCATGGATGTTTCTTCCTTTTTATTGCCTTTTGCTATTCCTCCGGACCCACCCTGAATGGCTTGGGAAGTAGCTTTGATAGCGGATTGGCTTAGAATTCGACCCGTTTTCAACCATTTCGCCAATCTTGATGGCTTCAGCGAATGGTTTACCTATGGCGGACATCATATTTTGGAAGTAGTCGGCTTCCTGAGCTTGTAAGAAAACTGTGACCATTTCGACCTTATCCATCGGAGGTTTTACCCTAGATTCCTGCTCTCGCCATTTAACTATGTACTCCCGAAAGCTTTCCGAGGATTTCTTTTTCAAGTTCGTCAACGAGTTCCTATCTGGAGCAATATCAATGTTGTACTGGAACTGTCTAACGAAGTCTCTAGCAAGATCATCCCAGATGTGCCAGCGGGATATATCCTGGTCCATATACCACTCATAAGCGATGCCAACCAGACTTTCTCCGAAATAGGCCATGAGCAGTTCTTACTTTCCACCGGCCCCTCGCAATTGATTGCAATATTTCTTGAGATGAGCAATAGGATCACCGTGCCCATCGTACTTCTTAAATTTTGGGGTTTTGAATCCCAATGGTAGGTGCACATGGGGAAACATGCACAAGTCGGCATATGATACACTTTTCTGTCCACTCAGGCCTTGTATGCTTTTGAGACTCTGTTCCATACTTTTCAACTTCCTCACAATCTCTTCTTGCTCAGGAGTTTTGGCGGTCTTTTCTTGCCCCATAGAGAACTCAAATTGGGGTGGCTGAGAGTAAGTATAAGTGGTAAACTGAGGAGGTTCCATTTGGAAGGTGGGTGTTTGGAAGGTGAAAGCTGAGGGGTCAAAATTGGGCCTCGGTAGTGTAGGTTGTGCTGTGGTTGAGCATGGGGGAGTGGTGAAGATATTCGAAGCTACACCGAACATTGACACCTGGGGCGAACCTCAGAAGGTGTTCCCACAAAATGAGCTGAAATAGTTGTGTGTCCTAATGGGGTATTTGGGTGACTGATCGGAACAGTGAAAGTACCACTTGCTCTAGGAAAAAGTTCAAGGAATCCCGGGATGGAGCTTGGTGGCTCTCTTCCATTTGCCCAAGCGTCCCACATTTCCATAACCCGAAAATGCATGATTCTGTTTTCTTCGGCACCTGCCGATTTTGAGGTCGGGATGCCTGAGATAGGACTGTCATCCATGATGGGAATTGTTGGCAGAGTCATTTCTGAAGACATTTCGACGCTCCTTTTTGATCTAGTAAAGTATGGGTGTGAAGCCAGGTTACCGCAAAAACCAACCACCGTTCTATAAAAACCCGAATTGATTACAGCAGCAAACGGTTAGTTTGAAACAAATAACAGATAGGTAATCACATGTTGGGGTGTGATACACCTATACAATTAAATGTGTTTCTACATGTTTTGCAACAGTTGCATGTTTCATCCCAGCTTTACTTACTACTTTTTTTTTATTATTTTTTCCAATTCCACTCTCTCTCTCAACATTTTTATTCTTTTGGTTATTCTTTATCTTCTCTCTTCTTCTCTCTTTTTGTTGGGTTATGATCGAATCCTATGTAGATTGCCTACGTATCATGACTCCTCATGAATCAGACCAAGCGTAGTTCTGGGGGCGTTAAAATGTAAAAATAAATAATAGAATATTTTGGAATTTTCAATTCTTCAAAAAAAAAGGAAATACTTTGGGTTACAATGATTTAAAGCTAAAAGACTCAAAAAGGAAAACAACAGACTCCAAAAACACGATGACAATACAGACTCACAGACTCTGACAAAAAGAAAAATACCGAATCGAAAATAAACTAACAGACTTCAACAGAAAAGAAAGATACAGACTCCAGTAAAATCAAGAATACATTAATGCTCCTGGTGCCCGCGGGACATCATTCGGTCTCGCCGAGGGCCTAAATGCGAGATCCCCTTGCAGTCGCTCCAAATCATGCATAACTTGGCGGACAAAAGTCGTCACTGCAGCAAAAAAGGTGGTACGAGTCATGTCTTCGCATGCTTGGCATTTCATGGTAATGTATTCAGCGATGGTTCTGATCCTTTCTCTAATTCTGCCTTTTTCCTGAAGCATTCGCCCTATCTGCTGATTCTGGGCTTCCAACACTTGAGAGTCATGAAGGTTTTGATCTTGCAACTGTTGCATTCCTTCCTCCATTTTAGCCATCAAATCATAACAGTATTCTCTATCGGCTTTGAAATCTTTATCCTGCTTGGCTGCCTCGATCTCGAGAGTGGTTACCTTTCTTCTTAGGATAGTTGTAGTCCCTTCATAGTTCCTCTTCATTTGTTTCACATACCGTGTCCGCTCTTCTACCTTCTTTGTCCATTGTTCCCGGATTTTCGCTAGACTAGCTTCAGACTTTTCTAGGTCTTCTTGACATTCGAGGGCTTTCTTTTTAAGACCGCTTATAAGTCTTTCGTTAGCCCGACTTCTTTTCGGGTTTCTGGCAGCTATTTTCATCTTCCAGATCTGAGCTTTGAGGGCCTCATTTTCCTGAGTTAGTTTTTTCTTTTCTCCCTCATCTGCAGCGGCTTGAACGTCATTTTCAAACTGAAGCTCCATGACTCGCCTTTCCAACTAGCTTATTTTGGCCTTGTACCCGTTTTCTTTGGTCAACCAGTCCCACTGCACCTGGGCCCCATCGGTGAACTGTTGGACATGGGGTCTCTTTGCGGGCCTTTCAGAAATCTGGAATCTTTTGCCGAACCAGACAATATACTTAGGGTCCACTTCACCTCTGGCTAGATCTCGCACCATGGTCTTAGGTTCAAGAAATCTACATTCATTCCATACTTGGCGAATTTTCCCTTCTGGAAATGTGGCTTTCGGGCCCAATTTAATGACATGTTTACTCAAATCTTCATCATTGGGGACAGTTTGAAACCTTCCTAATTGGCGCAAAACCCTGTGTGGAGCATAAGGCTGGATGCTCCGGATGCCCATCAGGAGGAGGTAACACACTTCAGCTGACATGTACACTGCTTCGGTGGCAGGAAGCCGTCCGAATTCCCACTCAATGTTATAGTCAGTCAAGGATCTCAAATGTGCAAGCAAGGCTTCAGTACTTTTGGGGAATTCAATACCTGCCACTCGGCTTTCAAACTCTTCAATGCAACTCAAACAGGTCAAACCGTAATTCATATACCCCACTCGATGGCAGAGATGTTCTTGCATCCATAACTGTAGTAGTAGATTGCAGCCTTAGAAGAACTTTCCTCCTTCCCGACAGATAGTCAAGGCTCGGTAAATTTCAGATAAGATCAGAGGAACCACAGTGTTATTGGTTTTCTTGATCGCCATGTCACGACCCAAACCGAAGGGCCGCGACGGGCACCCGGTGCTTTACTCAACCGAGTACCAACGTAACATATCTTTCTTATCATATTATCATGAGTAAATAAGCCAAAAAAACCCGTCATGAGATAACAAGAATAAAACATAAGGGAATACTCAACATATGAAGACCCAA